CCAGGTCTGCATGTTAGGAAGTGCCTCTGGTAACCATGAGGAGCAGGGCCGGGCTCAGGTGGAGGGAAGGCAAGCAGGCTGCCTCCAGGTGAAGGGACAAGGGTGGCTGACATGGAAGGTATGGTGAGGCGGGGAGAGCGCTGTGGCCTTAGGACAGGACTTGGTGGTATACTGGATGTGGAACGTGAGGAAGAAGGATTTCAAGCTGTCAGAAACTCTGGGTTGGGAGACGGTGACCAGCTGTCAGGTCCTGCAGTCCAGCAGCCTTAAGAGGGACGGTGGTTTTCCACCTGTGCAGGAAACACTCCTGACTCTCCTGGGAGATGGGGCTCTGTCCCCCAACCTGGCTGCGGCCAGGACACCTCCACTGACATCCAGTGGGCTTTGCAAACTTGCTACGGAGAAACCAGACTGCAGACTATATCCCTGGATGCCCTTGCCCCGCCTCCACTGAGATGCTCAGATACTTCAGACTCACCTGGCTCCCTGCCTTCCCTCAGCACGACCCCAAATGCAGTCCCTGTCTGCACTCTACCTCTGCAGCCACCATGCCAGTCCTCCCCGGACACATGCAATGCCTACCCGTGGTCTCCCTGCTTCCGGAAATCCACCCCATGATCTGAGTCTCCGCACAGGACCCGGCACGTCTCGTGAATGTGCCATCAGATCATGTTATTCCTCTGCTTACAATCTGTCATCAGTTTCTCCTAGTCCTTGAGACGAAAGCTGAAGCGATTCTAGTTCTGGGCCTCTGCTCCGCCTGCAGAGCTGGGCTGCCCTGTCATTCTGGTTTCAGCTAAAACGTCACCTCTTAAGGGAGGTCATCCTCTCCCCAACAATCCTTACCACCAACATGGTCCCAGTATCATCTCTTTCATTACTTTTAGCACTTGTTTTCTTTGTTCTTTAATGTGTTTGCTCTTACTTATTTACACTCGTTTAAGGCCCACCTCTGGACTGGAACACAAACCCCACGAGAGCAGAGACCTCGTCCAGCCTGTCCATCAACTTCCTTGTGCCTAAACCAGTGCCTGGAACACAGAAGGCGCGCCATGACAAATGCATAACACAGCGGGGCTACGTGCTCACCTGCTCCACACCTCCCTCAGCACCCTCCTGGCTAAGAGGACGTCCGTTCCTCGGGACCCTCCAGAGACCCCGGCAAGGCCTCCTGTCTTGAAGCACAGGGTACACTGTGGGGCATCCAAGTGGCCTCCCAGGAACGAGAACCTCCCAGGAACCACGGCTGTCACGGCCCCGCAGGCCTGCCTCCCCTCAGCCAGACTCAACCTGTGTTCCTTCTCTCCCTGTGGGAAGGGTATTCACTGCCCCACAGAGCAGTTTAGAAGACAAGGGGCTTCCATCCTTTCCTTCAGATAAAAGGCTGATGTCTTTGCCATGACATTGCTTTAATCCATGTCAAACAACCTGTGTGGGTCAGCACGCTGGCCTTGGCCCATGACCTTGCCTTACCTCACCATCCGTCATGAATTTATTTCTGTTCATTATAAAGAAACCATTAACCCAGGGTGGAAAACTCCTCAGAACAACATGCACCTAAATTGCGATGATCCAAAACATCATCAGTCATGCTCTGCAGCAGCCCTGGCCCCCACGTCCTCACCCCTGCCTGTGCCCATGCCCATCACATCAGTGCAACAGGTGGCACTCAGGACCCGCGATGTGACGCCTGAAAAGCGTGTGTGTGCCCCTTGCAAACCAGACGGGCCTCCATTTCCCCAATCCCACCAGTCCTCAATGCTACCTTTCTGCACTCTGCATTCAGGGGAGAAGCAAACAAAAAGACAACTGTGTAAAAAGGCAGTTTCTAAGGCGTATGTTGAGAGGTTAGCATACATTTAGCCCAAGACCATAAATAAAAACACGCTTGTGTTCCTGACAATGAATCTGAGGGCCCCAAAGATTTCATTAGCATCACAAAGCTCTTCCAACATGCCAAGAGTATTTCCAACAGGGGCGCCTGGGTGGCTCAGTTGGTTAAGCCACTGCCTTCGGCTCAGGTCATGATCCTGGAGTCCCGGGATCGAGTCCCGCATCGGGCTCCCTGCTCAGCGGGGGGTCTGCTTCGCCCTCTGACCGTCCCCCCTCTCATGCTCTATCTCATTCTGTCTCTCAAAATAAATAAATAAAATCTTTAAAAAAAAAAAAAAAGAGTATTTCCAACAAAGTTGCACTGAAACATGTTCTCCAAGTTCCAAAGACCCGCCAGTCTCTCCAAGCACAAAGAACCTTCCTTGGCAGGAACCCCCCCCACTGCCCAAGGTTGGGGGTCTACGGAAGAGACAAGCAGGGCCCCGGCGGCCCAGGACAAGGACGCTCACAGGGTAGTGTGGGCTAGTTGCGGTGGTGTTTGCCGGGGTATTTTCTACCCTAACCCCTAACCCTAGGGTAGAAAGGCCCACTTACTTAACTTTAAATTTTAGTCATGCTCTCCTGTTTCCGATTTTTCATTTAATTTTTTATGAATTCTATGTGGAATTCTGCATCTTCTCTCTCTGCTTTAATCTGTTAATCAGCTAAAGTCCGTGTCTGACAACTCCAATACCATAGTCTCTGGGTGGGTCTGTCACCCTGCCCAGTCCTGTTTGTCAGGGTACCTGGTAAACTGACTCAGCATCAGGCCCGGTGGGTGAAAGGATGTGGGCTGATAACTCCGCAAGCCGGTCTGGCTAGCATAGGCTACACGGACATCTCTGAGCTATACGTGGCCTGTGCAGAGGTATGCCAACCAATGAGCGACAGCCAGAAGGAACACAGGCCATGTCCCTCTGCCTGACCAAGAGTCTCTGGGGCTGAAGACCTCTGTGTCCTTGTCTGAACCCTCTGGTATCTCTCCTTACCAGCCCAGTCCTACAATGAAGACGGCAGCAGGACATAGCAATTCTACATTCTAGAAGCTCATTCTGTAACTTCTCAGAGAACAGGAGCGTGTGTCCTCAGCTGAGGTCTACCATCTCGCTCTTAGAGAAGGAGCCTTGGGGCTTGCAGACTGCCAGCTCCAGGCCTGCTTCCTCTCTGGGGACCCTTCCCTCCTGGCCAGATGGGCAGTGCTGGTTTTTTATAATTAGTGCAAGTAACTGCTGTGCTTCCTGCCTAGGACTGGCCATGGGGCTTATCTATAAACACTATAGTTTGTTACACATTGACAGTTTCAAACATGTTTCCCAAATGGGCTCCTGCCTCAGGGCCTTAGCACTGTCCCTCTACCTGGCATTCTGCCTCCAGATGGGCATACTGCTTGCCCCTCCTTCACCCAAGCCTCTTCCCAGATGTCACCTCACCATAGCATCCTACTTAACACGTTTTGTCCCTCTATCCTTATTTTTGTCTTACCACCAATCACATCTAATAATGTACATTCTGTCATATTGGATGCAGTCCAGTGACAGCTAGGGCTTATATATCAGCACCTAAACAAGCCATGACCCATAGTGGGTGCTCACCAAGTGGCTGCTGAATGAAAGGATGAACATCAGAGAGGGGCCTTTTTGACAGAACAATGGCTTTAGATGCTCTCCACCCTCTCAGGCTGCCCTGGCTGTCCCCATCTAAGTGTGAGCATCTCACACAAAGGGGGCCTGACCCAGTCTTCACTGATGAATGAGTGAAGGGATAGGCTTCTGCCACCAGGCCAGGCTCCTCAGCCTCCACATCCCAAATCCTTGTGGGATGGAGACATCGAACCAAGGGTGATAAGGGAGCACCAAAGTTACAGCTTTTTTTTTTTTTTTTTAAAGATTTTATTTATTTATTTGAGAGAGAGAATGAGATAGAGCATGAGAGGGGGGAGGGTCAGAGGGAGAAGCAGACTCCCTGCCGAGCAGGGAGCCCGATGCGGGACTCGATCCCGGGACTCCAGGATCACGACCTGAGCCGAAGGCAGTCGCTCAACCAACTGAGCCACCCAGGCGCCCCAAAGTTACAGCTCTTACTGGGAGGGAAAGGCTCCTGTAGGCTAAGGAGCTATCAGAGTAGTACTTGGGTAAAGCACAGCCAGAAAGCAGAGACAGGACCAGTTCATCCTGTCATGGAAGTCCCAGGCAGAGGCTGACTGTCAGATAGCAGACCCCAGAGAGTAGCTGGTGTGGGCCTATCTCTGTGGAGAGGAGGGAGCTGCCCATGTCTGAGCCCAGAAGGACGCTCACAAGAACCAATGGTCCCAGAAGCCACCACCCATTAGATGGTGCAGCCCCACAACACAGTGGCCACTGAAGCTCTCACCATTGACCCTCAGGTCTGAGTACTAAGCGACGGCATCTTTTCTAACTCTGCCCAATCCTTCCTGGATGGGCCAGCTGGGAGGGCTGATCCCATGTCTTCCCTACCTCCCCGGTTACCGTGTCCACTAGTCCCCAGCCTCTGTTCACCCATTCTCTGAGCATCGCTGGACCTTAGACTGTAGGATATTAAGGCAATGTGGCTCTGCTAGTGTGGAGGAGACCACAGTCCCCAAGCTCCCCTTGGTGTTTCCCACCCCCCAGGAAGCTTCAAGCTGAAATGTTCCCATAACTGAACTCTTCCCTGGGGGGTAGGGATGCATGCAGTGAGAGCCTATGGGGCTCAGTCACATGAAAAGGCTCCCACTAAACCATCCTACCGCAGCGCCTCAGCCTTCCCCCTTAACTGGCCTCTGGGACAGATGCCTCATCAGGTCTGCCATGAGTGAAGGATGATGCACTTGTCCTGCCCCACACCCCCATCGAGCCATGGGGCTCCCAGAGTGCCTGCCTGTCCTGGACCCCTGAATGTGGGCAGAGTCAGGGCCCTGCCACCACTCTCCTCCCAGAGGTCTGGGCACCACCCCCAGGGAAGAATGTGAGGCTGGGAGAGTCCTGGCTGTGGGGACAGGAAGCTGTTCTGGGTGGAGAATGGGAAAGGCAGTCACAGAGACCTCTGCCTGCTCACAAATTGCAGGCTCTGGGGAGCAGCACTGGTTCTCACCCCACTTCTATATCACTTCAGAAAACACGTCCACTCACCTTGCAAGGCTGGCTTTCCAGGCTCCCCTCTTGCTGCCTGCATGACAGCTGCCAGCCAGGGATCAGTGTCCCTGCCTCAGAGTGGAAGTGTAGCAGGGCAGCACTGGCCACCAGTGGCCATCTTGACCCAGCTGTGGCCATGGACAGGGCCTCGGGCAGAAGCAGAGGTGGCCCCAGGAGGCCAGGGAGGAGTCCAGGCCAAGGCCAGACTGCCCAGAGGTAGGTGGCCTTGTCGGTCCAGTTTCCCGTCGTCTGAAGACTACTGGAGTCATGGTGGGCCACGGAAGCAGGCCAGGGACTCTGCCTGTGCAAGTTCATGGGTGATCAGCTCCTTTCTTCACGTGAACTCCTGTGAGGAGGCGTCGATCCTCGCAAGCACCTCAGCCCAGCAAGGACACAGCCACACAATATGGTAACGGTGAGCCTGCTGTGGGGCGAACCCCAGGCCTCCACCATGTCACTGTCTTCCAATCTGTACCATCTTCCTGTTCCCATTCGTGTGACTGCTTAATAAAATAAAAAGAAGGAGTGTTAACAGTGTCAGTTCGCTTAGCCAGAGAGCCTCCCCGCCCCAACCCCATTCTGAATTTCATTAAGCTCCTGACAGGCTGTTTCATCTGTTTGGTTATGTACTCATTCAAGACATAGTAACAGAGCCCTGTGAACTCAGAAAACTGGGCAAGAGATGATGTGATGCGTCTCCTGTCACCAGAGGAGATTGCAGCGAGAAGGGAAACCGACAGCCGGAGCCCTGTGACTGCACCAGCCACAGCCAAGGTGGTTCCGGGCTACAGCGCTGGGAGGGGAAACTCAGACAGCCAGCCATCTCCCTCAGGGGAAGAGACAGGAGGGCAAGGAGGCAGCTAGGACGCGGGGGCGGAGTGCTAGGGAGGAGGGGCTGCAGAGCAGGCAGAGCTCCAAGATATGCAGCTGAGGAGGAATCTGTACCCATGTGAGACAAACTATGCGAGGAGCCCAGGGCAGGAATCCCTGGAAAGGAGCAGATGGAACCAGAGCTCACACAGGGATGGCCCTATTTTATGTTCCCATAAACCACCATGGTAAAGCCTCCTAATTCACAGCGTATCGGGTAGAATCCTCAGAAGGGCACTGCCCCTCACAATGGGGCAAAGAATCACCTGATGCCAAGGAACTTAACTGTGTGCCAGACCAAGATTTACACTATTTGAAGGAATATAACAAACCCCAGCAACCAACAACATAAATTCACAATGTCCAGTATTCAATAAGGAAACGGCCAGGTGTATCAGCTAGAGTCCAGCCAGGAGACAGAAACCACATGGTATTTTAAACAAGGGAAGTTTAGTATAAACAATTATTAACTATTTATAAGGAGTTAACTGAAAAGAAACAAAAGAGAACTCTACAGAATACCCTAGGGTGAAGGGAGGTACCCAAGGAAAGGATTCACACCTGGGAGGTGGTGGACACAGCCCACTGGATGGTGAAAAGTTCACTGGGCTGCCCCAGGCCAAAGCTGGAGGCTGACGACAACCTGTGTGGGTGCCAACAAAATGAGCTGGGAAGCTGTGTGCAGAGGTGCTGATGAACTCACGGGAAAGCTGCCAGGAGGCCAGCCGGGGTCCCATTGAACTTGCCTGGCAGTGCCTACCCCTTCCAGACATAGAGTATCAGGGCGGGAACCACAGGGGTGCTGCTGAATTTGCAGCCAGGAAACTGCCTGAAAAGGTGCCACAGAAACTTAGTGGAGTGAGCTCCCATGCATCCTATGTGCCAGCCTGTGTCATAGAACAGAAAAAAGCAGAACACACAGAACCAGGAAGAGAGGCCCCCTCTCCTCCAGCACCCCCAATGGCGAGAACTGGCATCAGGCTAGCTGGCAAGGGAGAAACATTCCAGCATCACAAGCAAGCAATGAAGCGTGAAATGGTAACTGCTATACCAGGCATGTGAAAGAGAGCAAAATACGACCTACGACCTTAAGAAGACCAACCATTAGAAACTGACCTAGCAAAGGCAGAGATATAGGAACTAGCAGACAAGGATGATGAATATTATTTTATAAAAATGCTTCACATATTCAGGAAGGTAGAGGGAAACACGTGCATGATGGGGAGGAAAATGGAAGCTATAAAAAGATCTAGAGATGGTAAGAATAGTCTCTGAAATGAAAAAACATTAGTATGGGATTAACATCAGATCAACACTGTAAAAGAAAAGATCAAAGAATTTAAGGACATAGCAACTGAAACAACTCAAAATAAAGTACATACACACACAAATAAATAAAGCATACAGATAAAACAAAACAAAACAAAGAAACACCAGACACTACCAAGCAGGCCAATGTGCATAAACTGGAATCCCAGAAAAAAGAAGAGCAAAAAGGAGACAGAAACAGTATTTGAAGAAATAAAGTAAAATTTCCCAAATATGATCAAGACTATAAACTCACAGATCCAAGAAGCTCAATAAAACCCAAGGAGAATAGAGCAGCACCAGATCCAAGATGGCGGCCAGCAGGAGGCTGATGAAGGAGCTTGAAGAAATCCGCAAATGTGGAATGAAAAACTTCCGTAACATCCAGGTTGATGAAGCTAATTTATTGACTTGGCAAGGGCTTATTGTTCCTGACAACCCTCCATATGATAAGGGGGCCTTCAGAATCGAAATCAACTTTCCAGCAGAATACCCATTCAAACCACCGAAGATCACATTTAAAACAAAGATCTATCACCCGAACATTGATGAAAAGGGGCAGGTCTGTCTGCCAGTAATTAGTGCTGAAAACTGGAAGCCAGCAACCAAAACCGACCAAGTAATCCAGTCCCTCACAGCACTGGTGAACGACCCCCAGCCCAAGCACCCACTTCGGGCTAACCTAGCTGAAGAATACTCTAAGGGCCGCAAAAAATTCTGTAAGAATGCTGAAGAGTTTACAAAGAAATACGGGGAGAAGCGACCTGTGGACTAAACTCTGCTGCGACCGATTGCAGCGAGTGTGAGCGGAGACCCCGCAAAGCAGGACTCTGTGGAAAATTGACACGTGCTGCCGCCTGGCATTTGCTTGTGGCAGTTACTAACTTTTTTTTTTTAAGATTTTTATTTATTCATTTGAGACACAGGGATATATAGAGAGAGAGAGCATGAGGAGGAAGAGAGGCAGAGGGAGAGGGAGAGGCAGGCTCCCCGCTGAGCAGGGAGCCCGATGCGGGGCTCGATCCCAGGACGCTGGGATCATGACCTGAGCCGAAGGCAGATGCTTAACCATCTGAGCCACCCAGGCGCCCCGGCAGTTACTAACTTTCTACAGTTTTCTTAATCAAAAGTGGTTTAGGTAACCTGTAAAGAAAGGATTAAAAATTTAAGATGTTCTAGTTCTGCTTTCTTTGTTTTAAAAATCACTGCTTCAATCTACTTTAAAAGAATGGTGTTTCTTTTCTTGTCCAAATTGATCCAAAACCTTCAATTTACATTTAGCCCTTAAGGTTAAGGAAAAAAAAGAAAAAGGAAAAAAAAGTTGCAGTTCCCTTTCTTCCCCCGCCCTTGCAACTCCCACTTTCTTGCACTTGGTTTATTTTTCACTCATTCACTTCCCCCAGACCCAGGGCTATCTCCTCCGCAAAGGAGAAGAGACCGCTCCTGGCAATTCTGGTGGCTTCTCTACTCCCATGTTGCACTGCCCTGTGTGGGAGTTGGTTCAAATTCTCCTGGCTCCAATTTATAACATCCTTCAAAAAGAATTTAAAAACAAGCAAACCACCACTCACCACCCCACCACCTCCCCCTCACCGCGAAAAAAACAAAACAAAAACCAACCATGAAAAGGGAGGCCCAGTTCTTCTGTAAAAATCTGGCTGGTGTTACCACCATAATATTGGTTAAATGGGCAAACCCTGATGTCTGTGTGCGTGACTGAACTTCAGCCTGGCCTGCCCTGCTTGGGGAAACCCAGGTCTGTGGCAACCCCAGGGGAGGGCCTGCCGACCAGAGGATGCTGTGCACTTGTGTGAGGAATTTCTCGCCAGAGAGGCTCCTGCGGCCAAAGGTTGACGCTCCTCCCTGCAGCCACTGTAGAAGACGTGCTGGTCATTGCGGACAACGCCGAAGCCAGATGTCCATGTGAAATTCCACGCTCACCTGTCTCTAAGCTCCATCTGAATGTGCCACGGAGATCGCTCTCCCAGCTCCTCAGTGCAGCGCAGCCCCACTGCGACCCTCCCTCGGCACAGTTTGACCCTTTGCGGGGTTGGAATTGGCGGGACTTGGCTGTAGCCAGCAACAGTCTGGGGTTGCCGGTGCCCTGCCGGCCAGCCCCGGAATAAGACGGCCTTCCCTCTCCCTCTGGACTCACAGCCTTTGCAGAGTCAAGCTCCACTTGAAGCTCACTCAATAATATCCTTTACATGTGTTTTATATTGTTTTGACTGCCTTTTTTTGTAGAAATAAAATTGACCTTAAATTTATCATCAAAAAACAAACAAAAAAAACCCCAAGGAGAATAAACCTCAAAAGACCACCACCAAGGTACATCATAATCAAGTTGTTGAAAACCAGTGTCAAAGAAAAAAATCTTTAAAGAAGCCAGGCTTTTAAAGAGCACATTATGTATGGTCCCAGCCTTGGGTCCCGCTGCGCAGCTCTGAGGACTGCCACCGGCTGCTGCCAAAATGTCACCGGAGACTTCAGCAGACACAGAATCTAGTAGATAAGGTCTTTCTTGCCTTTCCCCTCTTGATTCAGGGGTTAGAGGTTTAAACTAGACTCTAACCATCTCATACCTAGAGACTGAGTTCTATCCAGCAGTTTGCAGATTGTCAGCTGTGGACTCCAGTAGGTTTCTAATAATTATGTGAACAATTTTGTAGCCCTCAAGTGAGACCATCTGTGAACTGGTCATTAATTGGCCCAGTCCCCATAGACTATAGCTTTTTAGAGTTAGTTTCCTATTTTTCTTTCATGCCATAGGTTTATTTCCAAATATACTATGTTGAATTCAAGAGATTGATCAATTTTTCAAAGAGACTGCACCTCTTCAAATGCTCCTTTTCACATGGCTATTCTTTTTTATTTATTTATTTTTTTATTTATTTATTTTTTTTAATAAGGTGTTTATTTTTATTTTTTTTTAAAGATTTTATTTATTTATATGACAGAGAGAGACAGCGAGAACAGGAACACAAGCAGGGGGAGTGGGAGAGGGAGAAGCAGGCTTCCCGCTGAGCAGGGAGCCTGATGTGGGACTCGATCCCAGGACCCTGGGATCATGACCTGAGCCGAAAGCAGACGCTTAACGACTGAGCCACCCAGGCGCCCGGCTATTCTTTTTTAAAAAGCCAACACCCAGACATTATATGCCTCCCGATAAGTGATAAGACACTATCTATAATCTTGCCAAAGGATTAAATCCTAGCCTGATAAAGTCTCTTGCGTCCAGCTTATAAATTTACAAGAATTACAGAGGGCAGAGGAACATGTCGAACTGTAATGCAAATATAATAAGCAAAATCCAACCTGAAAAACT